GTAAAGTTCAATGTTTACAAGTGTAAAGATTCCCGAGTTCCAATAGATTCAACAAGATAAAAACACAAAGACCACCAAGGATAAAATATGAGTTTTAATGCTAAATATCATCTTGGGTTTTATGGTCTTCTAGTGTTCATCTTCTCTTCCTCTTCTCCTTTTTCTTCTTCTTCTTCTTCCTCTTAGAGATCAAATGAGTTCCTGCACACAGAAAAAATATTTCTCTCATATCTCTCATTTTGCCTAGGAGCCTTTTCAGGTTTTCATCCTAGCATCTCTTTTTGTTTTTCCATCCTTACTAACTCACTCATTTTTTTATAAGCCATTTTTGCTTAGATTGCCCATTCTTGGGTTTTCAACCTAACTAGCATTTCAATTCTTTTATCCATTTTTCTCTTCTCTTTTTTTTTTTTTTGTTTACAAAGGGTAAAAGAAATTCACGCATAGTAAAAGGTAGAAAATGAAATTACATACCATGAGTAATCTCCTCCCCCACACTTAGTTGAAGCACTGTCCCTAGTGCCCACCTTCACCGCCGTAGTAGCCGCCTCCAAAGCCTCCTCCAAAGCTCCCATCGCCCATGTGGGTGTCGCCGCCATCATCCCCTCCATCAAAACCCCCACCCCCGGAGCTAGATCCTCCGAAATTGCCCCATTGAGTGGGGTCATACCAAGAGGGGGGTGGTGGTGGTTGAGCCATGGTGTGGAATTGGCCTTGATGAGCCATGTAGGAATACATAGGTCCATAGAACCTACGTTGATCTTCTTCATACCTTCGGTTATCTTCGGCCCGTTGCTCTTGTAGTCTTTGAAATCCCGCCCTTTGTTCCTCCCGATATTTACCAACTTCATTGGTAACTCTATTGAATCCGTCAAGCAGTTGTTGGAAGTAAGCGGGGGGTGGGGAAGCTTGGTTCGGTTCGGGCATGTGGTGATGTGCAACCTCGGGTTCTTGGTACTCGGGTTGAGGCTCTTGGTCGGGTTGGTCTTCGGGGAGATCTTGGGCTTGCGGTTCTTGGAGATGTGGTGGAAGGGCGTGAGGGAATAGGTAGTGAGGCTCTTCGAACTCCGGTCTGTAGCGTAGTTTGGGGGTGTCCGGGTTTGGCAGTAGGAAGTATTGCACAGGTTGTACGTGTATGACCCAATTGTACATGTTTTTTGGTTGGTCTCCAATATAGACCGTGTGGGAGAAAGATGTACATCCCGAGCGTCCTAACCAACCCATATCCATTAAGCAATAGTCGGGTATAGGGGAGTTATCCGTATACCCGAACCTACTTGCCAAGTGCATTATCACTCCACCCACAACTATGGCCCCTTTTGCTAAGCTTTCTTTCTTTAAATGTGCCCACATGAGATTGCACAGATTAAAGTCCACGTGGCGACGGAATAAGGCCACTGACATCAAACACACGTCCCCGATTCTAGTGTGATGGTTGTTGGGACGGCCAAGCAAACAATTCGCCAAGAATTTTAGGAACAACTGGAGCACGGGGTGTTGGACATGACTAATATACATTTGGGAGGATTTAAAGTTCACTTCCCCGGTCATCTTTGTCCATAGGGAGTGCCCAAAGATGGTGTTATCCGAGATGGTTCTCTCGTAGGGCACCGGGATGCCAAAATGTTCAGCAAACTCGAGTTTCGTGATTGAATAGTTTCGGTTAAATAGACGAAACTCGAGTCTATCATCCCTAAAATCCGCCTCATCACTCTCAAACTTCACCGAACTCAAGAATTCGTAGATAATTCGGTCATTAGAATTGTACTTCATATTGAAAATACGGTCCATATCTAATGCATGAAAGAATTTTCTACAACTCTTATAGACTCCTAATTCATGTAGAGCATCATGGCATAGAAAACGGGAAGGTTTTACTTGCCTTTGTGTTGTTGCTAGGAGTCTAGTTCGGTGCTCGGCGTCGGCGGGAATGATGTCTTCAAAGCCCGGGATAGGTGCTATGGTGATTGAGCTCTCTCCCCTATTCTTCCTTGGTGCCATTGTTGATGAATTTGAGCTTGAAATCCAAAAATTCGAATGGGGGTAGGGTTTTTTTTTTTTTTTTTTTTTTTGTTTTTAATGCTTAGTACAAGGTAAAAATAAAGGGATTGTGACATACCAAGAGATGATGCTTCTTCCCCCACACTTGAAACGTGGCACTACCCTTAGTGCCCACCTTCTCCGCCATAGTAGCCGCCTCCAAAGCCGCTTCCCTGCATATAATCGCCACCTCCCTCGCCCATGGTCGTATCCCCGCCATCATAGCCACCACCGCCGGAAGTGGAGCCGCCGAAATTACCCCAATCGGAGGGGTTATACCAAGAGGGTGCCGGTGGTGGTGAGGACATAGATGCAAAGCCGCCGATGTGGGACATGTATGAGTATGTGGGCCCATACATCCTCCGGTAGTCGTCCTCATACCTTTGCATATCGGCCGCCCTTTGCTCCTCCATCCTTTGGAATGCCGATTGTTGCTCGGTCCGGAAAGCATCAAATTGGCGGTCCCTTGCTTGTTGCTCCGCCCGGTATTGGCCTAGCTCTTCTTGAAGTTGGGTAAATTGCCTACCCATTTTTGTGTAATCGAGGCTCATGGTTTGGAACCCGGTAAGGAGGGATTGTTGACCCGCCAAGAGTTGTTGGAAAAAGTCTTGGGGTGGCGGGTTTTGAGGAGGGTCGGGAAGAGCATTGTGGACATCTTCATGTCCTTGATTGTCGGCTTGATCGGGATGATGCTCGGGTTGTTCTTCGGGTGGGTTGGCTTGATCTTGGAGGTGGGGTGGAATGTTGTTTGGGAGGAGGTAATGGGGAATCTCGAATGTGGCCATCCTATACCTAAGCTTAGGCAATTCATCACAAGGGAGGGGGAAATATTTGGTGGGTTCGGGATATTTCATGTGCCACCGATAGCGTTGGTTTCCATTGTGGTCCTTGTACACAAACGAAATATTACATACCATGAGTAATCTCCTCCCCCACACTTAGTTGAAGCACTGTCCCTAGTGCCCACCTTCACCGCCGTAGTAGCCGCCTCCAAATAATAGGGTGATATCATAATATAAATAATAATTTATATTTCCCACTTATTATCTCTATAATAAGTAAATTTATTTATTTGCCGGCACACGGCCCATTTCATATATTTCATTATACCCGTCGTTAGCACGACACTGCCCGTAGGTCTTATCATCCTTTACGAGACTTGTCACCGCTCTCCGAGGCCTCACCGGGCTCTCGGGCCGGAGTCCAACATCCCGCCCCTGAACTCATACCCATCATCCCGTAGGAAGGTAAGGTCCATTCGGGGTCCTATCTTATGTGTTACCGCTGTCGGGAGCCTCGTAAGGTCTCCGGTTCGGATTCCACCCTAACCCGTGATCACGATGTAAGTCCATGCTATCCAACCCCGCTCTCTAGAGTCGGGAAGGGCCATGGTCCTTACTAATTACCAATACTCTATCGGCTAATCCTTAAAGACTACCGAATACACCCGTAGGCCAATCCTATTCCTAGGATCAATTTATTATTCACTTTATCTTGGGTATCCCTTAAGGCCTACCCCTAGCATCACTTATCCACCTTAGTATCTCTTAAGACTACTTAAGGCTCAACAATTTACAATCCAAACCTTGGATCAATTCTAACATATTTCATTCCAAAACCCCGACTAGTATCATAATACTAGTCGGATAAATTCCAACAAAACTCATTTTCAATTCATAGTCATATAGACAATTTCCAAACTAATTTTCCATTGAAATATAGTTCGTATCAATATACAAAATATAACCTTTAATCACTCATATATCCTTATATGAAGTTTAAGTTATATTTCAACACAATATTTATAATTAATCCCTTCATCAAGCCAATATGCTCATATTACATAATCATACACAACTTATCCTTAAATTTGTATATTATGCTCCTTTATGCATTCACAACAATATTTTCATTTAGGCATTATTAATCATTAATAATCCATGAAAATCACATTTAATTACTTTAGGTAATCCTACGAAATTAACCCAAAGATTATAAGCAACATAGTCAGCCATCCTCACCTTATGAAGTGTTGAAATAGTTGTCCTTATTAAGCCCTTCGATCAATCCCCGTTCTAAACCGTTTGGAGATGAAAAATCTGGGCAGCAGACGAAAGCCGGGCGGCTTTCGTGAAAGGTGGGCGGCTTTCGTGGTCTGCAGCTACGAACAGCCTCCTATACTTGGCGGTTTCCGGCGATTTCAACTCCTATCGATTCCACGACTCTTCTAAGTTAAATACCACCACTTAATAACATTATTCTACACTTTTAAACGTGTAGAACTTCATGTTTAATCCACCATATGATTTCATAAAAATCATACAAAAATAATACTAGTTAAAGGATAACACTTGTGTTCTTACCTCAAGAACAACTCTTTTCTCCTTGGATTTCTTTTGTTGATGTTGCCTTCAATCTTGGACTTTGTTGAAGACTTTCCCTTGAGCTCTCTCTCCTCTTGGTTGTTCGAATGAATGGAATGGGAAGGGGGAAGGCACCTCTACTCAATCAAGCCTCAAAATAATGTTGAGTAGGGTCATTTGATGTTCTAATTTGACTTAGGCCATCCCTTCAACAGCAACTCCGCCCACCCCCATGTTTATTTGTCTCAAAGTGATTATTTTGAGGCCTTAAGTCAGATAAGAAATCCCCAAATGGGTGTAGGAAGTCCCTCCCAATTATTCCTGCTATTTTCGGTAGGCCCGGGCCGAAATAGCACTCGGGTTGTCCAAATATTTTTATCAACTTCGGTTGGCGTTTTATTGGACTCCTATAATTATTATGATAACCCAACTAAATATTTTGGTAGTCCGTTCGCACTTTACGGACCCGATAGATAATTTAATTAATCGCACATTAATTAAATATATGAATTTTGTCACACGAATTTTATTCTCTAGGAATATCAATTACATGCCAAATTTCAAGTTCAAGTACATCCGGGTGCGGTGTCACACACATGCTCCTCAGTTTCCCTCTCTTGGTGCTCAGTTTCTTTCCCTTGGTGCTCAGTATCCCTCCCTTGTTTCTCAGATTGTTCTCCAACATGCTCAGTCTTCTTAGTGCTATCCTTCCTTACTTCTGCAACCCTTGTTTCTTCATCACTCATCTTTATCTCAGCTTCAATTTGTTTTATTAAGTCCATATTAGCCTTTTCCTTTTTTGGAATTGCTTTTGGTTTCATCTTCTTATGCTTCTGTGGAACTTTGGAAGTCTTTTTTACTCTCTTTTTTGGATTTGAGCGCAGCACTGGGATCTCACTTATAGGTCGTGGATCTAAAATCCTGTATTATTAATTAAAATGAGTAATATATATCAAATCATGAGCACACAAAATATTATTTTGTAACTCTATTCAATCACAGGCATATTCTATACAAACTATATTTATATGTAAATGTAGTTTATGACAAGCATATTCTAAAACAAATTTTTCATAGCTTTTTAAGAAAACATAACACCATATGGTTATTTGAAAGTACTAATCAACTTATGAGTATCAGTTCACTTTTAAATTAACATTATGAATAACTAACATATTATCACCAGTTTTCAGTACTATAAAATTGTGACACACTGTTTTACAATTTGAGCATCTTACACTCACATTATGAGCACACACACAATGTCCATGCAAACGAATTACAGAACAAGTATATTGTATAACAAAAAATCTACTGCACTTCATGACACATTGTTCATGAAACAATGTCTATTTGTTCATTTGATACAGTGTTCAAATAATGAGTATGACTTCAATTTTAATGTCACATTATGATTAATTAGCATAAACACATATGAATCATAAGGATATTATTCAACAAGTACAGAAAATTTAAAGCACATACCACTCCATTCATAGATGAGTACTGTATACCACAGATTGAGTATTTTATCATCTTAGAAGTAACCTAATTACAGTATCACCATGTTCTAACTAGTTAGTAATGCATATGACCTAAAGTAGAGTAAAATGAGCAATAACCTTCGTATTTTGAACAAAACCTCAAATGATATACTTAATAAACACATATCATGCATCAAATTCATAATCTGCTTCAGATTTGTCAAAATCATTTCATTTTTTCTATAATTTTCGAAACATGCAAGTATATTGTTGAATCATTACTTGAATACAAATTTGAACACTATAATATTACATACCTCTCTGATCCTTCTGGAGTTTCATGCTTATCTGCGTTCTTCATCATCTCATACTCGGATAGTAGGTCCATCACTCGCTTCAATGCTCAAACAGAAACAACTTGCTGCTCAAACTCTTCCTCTGTTCTTAACTTGTCGTTGCTCTGCAACTCTACGAACAACTCCGCGAAGTTGACAATTGTCTGGAGGCTGTCATCGTTTTTCGAGCTTTAATACGGCGTTTATGAATGCTTGCGTCGTTTTCGAAGAAATTTCAGAAGGTAGTTCGAGAGAAGTTACTTTTCCGTTTTTTGATATGTTTAAATCGCAGGCTCTGTTTTTCGGTTATCGATATTACCCGGTAAAAATTGGGGCCAGGTGTGTTATGGGCTAGATCTCTTAATGGGCTTTTATGTTAATTGGACCACGGATGTACATACAACCGGGTGTAGCATATAGGGTCTCAGTTCGAGGTCTTATTTGACCCTTCTTCCTTTATTTTTTATCATTAAAACAAACCGCTTTATATTAAAATCATTAAGAAAAGAAATAACTATTAAAATACTACTCCGTAAATTCTAGAAATAACTATTTATTTATTTAGTTATTTTTGTATAAAAATAAACCGCGGTTATAGTGTACTCCCTCCGTCCCCTTTTAAATGTCTCATTTTACCATATTGGGATGTCCTTATTTAATTGTCTCATACCTTATTTGGTAAAATTTGATTGGCTCAAAATCATTCTTACTTTATTCTTACTTTATTAATTAATTAATATCAACCACACAAACCCACTTTTCTTAAAATTCGTGTCACCTCTTCCGGGACATTTAAAAGGGGACATTTAAAACTGGTGTCATCCTCTTCGGTAATATATTTTTACCAATTACCAAAAAAGAGGAGGGACCCGATGAGCATCTACATTCATAGACGGTATACCAGTTGCCGCTTCAGTTAAATCCCACCCAACTGTGAAGAAGAAGGTCGAGAATGGATCAAAACCCTAGCAAGAAGAAAGGCAAAAATGCAGAAAACAGTTCAGATGTTTTCGCTTCTTGCTCATTTGCTAGCCTCGGTCTTCATCCAACACTATGCGACCAGCTTAAAGGTTTTCTCTTTGTTATTTGTTAACCACTACATTAATTAGCTACTTCGTTTTTTCCCCTAGCCATGTCCTTGATTAAGTACTGGACGTTTTTTCAGAGAGGATGGGTTTTGAGGCTCCGACTCTTGTTCAAGCCCAGGCAATTCCTGTTATTCTATCTGGTCGACATGTGTATTTCTCCTCCCACTTTTATTTTATTATTTTTCCAGTTCTTTTAAGTTTGTTTTAGTATGCTGAAGTTATTATTACCAGTAAAGTTAAGTTTTTTATATCTCCTTCTTAATCTTCGAGGTGCTCTTGGTCTCATTTTTTTTGTTTACAGGCTAGTCAACGCAGCGACTGGAACAGGGAAAACCGTGGCATACTTGGCTCCAGTTATTCACCAATTGCAGAGATGTGATCCTCGGATTGAGCGGTCTGATGGTACTTTCGGTATGTATTCTATGTTGAAGTGCTCTTCTCTGTCTTTAGTTGTACTCTTGCATATGCAATTCTTGCTCTGAGTGCAAGAAGAGAAAACAAATGGCAGGGTTCTTGATATCTTTCTATTATTCTATTGCATGCCTACAGTTGTACTAAACATATTACATATGACATGGCTACTTGGTAACTTCATGTATATACATATGCCAGAAGTAGCACAAATTCCAATATCTTGCAATCATTTAAAATTTTCTAAATTAAGGACCTGTTCGATAAGGGTATATTGTTGAAACAGATGAGATGGTAATACTGAACATGCTGATTTTTTTTAATGGAAAAGTGTTTGGTAAGATTGATTTCAGACAAATGAGCAAATCAAAAGCTACTCATTATGCATATACCAATCATTCTGCTTATCGATTCATGCTACCAAATGGGGCCTGCATAGGTGCACCTTAGAGCTTTCACTGTTTAATGTTTTTGGTCCTACAAATGAAGGATGCCGTGTGCTGCACTTTGACATGCAAGCTAGTTAGTGAAGCACGACTATGAGGTGTTTAGCTATAATAAATCAGTTTCTGCGTTAGATTGTATATATGATAGAATGTAGTCACATATGGTGCCATGACCCATGATAGACAATTAGACACCATGGGAAAGGAGGAGATAAACACGGAGAAAGTTTACAGGGTTTAATTAATTAGCATGGATTTTGTATCCATGTTCAACATAGTTTCAGGGAGTATAATTACCATCTTGACTGATATTTTTATTTATTTCTTAACTTAATTATATGCTTTATTCTACTATAAATGAACACTGGTGTAGGGAAATTATGATGCACCCACCCCGAGAGGCCACACAAAACCAGTATTACAGTTAATCCGGGGAGGGGTAAATTGAGCTTTAATCACAATCTGAGTTTGATAGAGCCTGTGGCACTATGTAGTTGGTATTTTCAGAAGTCCCATGCCAAGCATGGTTTCCCCAACATAGTTGCGAGGAATAGCCGAATAGGCCATGGATCTACTCCTTTTGGCACACTATTTATGCCCATTTGAATGAATACTCTTTAGAGTAGCAGAGAGGCAATGGTTTTCAAAAATAAAAGTGAATTTATTTAACAGAGATTAAAAGAAGGACATGAAAATTAGAGAGACCCACCAAGAGCCTCGAAAGGATGAAAGAACTCTCCAGCAATACCCCCTTCCAACAGAGTCGATTTCCCCCCTTAAATACCATATCAATCAAGATGTTAAACATAGTCCCTCATATGGTTCTGGCATACAACAACAACAGCACCCAAGCCTTAGTCTAAAAGAGTTTGGGGTCGGCTAACACGAATGGACATATGAAATTGGAGCGGGATCTAGCATCTATGCAAAAATCCCATCATCTTTCTCTAGACTATACAGCTCTATCACGTACAAATAAATATATAAATGATGCCGAGAACTTGGCTGTTTCAGTATTTTATTTTATCCATTGAGATGGTCTGTCTGTGTTGATCATAACCAGAGTATCCTTGATAGCGTTGGTTCTTGTACCAACGCATGAACTATGCCTCCAGGTATATGAAATTTTGCAGAAAATGTTGCACCGCTTCCATTGGATTGTTCCTGGCTATATAATGGGTGGGGAGAACCGCTCAAAGGAGAAGGCTAGATTGCGTAAAGGTAGAAGACATTGAAATAGTCTTTTGCTATTCTTAAGTTTTTGAAGCTTTTCCAATGATATTTGAAATAGCATTTTCTGTCCTATTGTTATTTCTAGGCATATCAATTCTTGTTGCAACTCCTGGGCGTCTTCTGGATCACTTAAGAAATACTTCTTCATTCATACACAAGAACTTACGGTGGATTGTTTTTGATGAAGCAGACAGGTGTGTGCTTACTTATTCCGTTACAATTGCCCTTTCATTTTTTTCAGGGGAAATTTGATTGTTCACACAGTGATTACCATATTATTTGACTTCACATCCCCGATTTTATTTTCATTAATTTGCTCCTCAAAGCACCCCAGAGTGGGAAGCAAAGTCAAATATGTAAATAAAACATAGGGTGAAAAGCCTAACAAAATCTAGTATTTGCACCCCATGCTTAAATATGTTTGGCGTTTGCACCCTTGAACACCCTATGGCCAGTTGTATACAATGTTAAATAGTGAGGCAACTCATGGGATGCAAAGCCTAATGATGTTTGGTATTTGTGCCCCTGTTTATCTCTATATTTGACTTTGAACTATTAATATCAAGGCAACAGACGCACACTTTGGGGCGCTCTGAGTGCAAAATGAAAGAAGATAATATATGAGGTGTGAAGTCAAGTATTTTGTCCAAACAGATCTCCCTAATTTGTTTCTTACTATGTTCATTTTATTGCAATTCACATGTCCAATTTTCAGTATTTTGGAACTTGGGTTTGGTAAAGACATTGAAGAGATACTTAGTGTACTGGGGTCTACACAATATAACTCGTCTGGCAAGGAGAATTCCAGTTTTAGAGGCCTTGAAGTCCAGAGGCAAAATTTGCTACTGTCAGCAACATTAAATGATAAGGTTAACCATCTTGCTAAAATAAGTTTAGAGAATCCAATAATGATTGGTCTTGACGACAAGATGTCAAATAAAAAACTGAGTCATGACGAAGAAACTGAAACAAGTGGACTCGATTCAGATGATGCATTATTAACATCTGCAAAAATATTAAGTTCAAGTGAGGACTATAAGGTTCCTTCCCAGCTTCTTCAGAGATACATAAAAGGTACTTCTTAAGGCTATATTTGGAACTTGGAAAATGTTTGCGATTATTTTTGAAAGAAAATAAATTTATGTTTGGTTCTATCTTTGATAATGCAATGAAAACCCCAATGTGGTTGCTTTCTTTTACATATATTTAGATTCCATAGTATTTAAAAATTATATACTACGTAATAGGTTATAGGTATGTGTGTGTATAATTTGGTTCAAATGAGAACATGATCTAAGGAAAGAAATGAGAACGATTCTTGGGCGTTGGATTTCGGTATCGTGCATTAGGTGAAACAGAAATGTGTACTATCATAAATGAGAAAATGTGCATTTGAACTGTGCATTATTTTAAACACAAATGTGCACATTTGGATTTTGCATCATTTTAACTATGAATGTGCACCTCTGTGAATCATAATGTGCATTGTTTTAGATCGTTATCATTTCTCATGATAAGAAATGTTTTCACCGAAACCAGAGTCTCTCTATATATAAGTAAAGAGAACTTGAACAAATATACAAAAGTGATTTATTGAGTTTGGACTTTTCCCCCTTCCAAATTTAATTCAACTTTGCTCCCTGTTTCTTGCCATAAGTTTTTGAAAGTTTTTATGTAATGAGTTTAATGGTTTAACCATAATCGCTCCTTGTATGATCTTAATTGATTGTTGCTTGATTTCTTTGTGCAGTTCCATGTGGTAATCGGCTTGTAGTTCTTCTTTCAATATTAAAACATCTATTTGAGAAGGAAGCTTCTACTCAGAAGGTTAAGGAATAGTGTAAATACAAATCTTCACTACTGGTGACTTAATTGGAGAGTTAATGACCAATTTAGCCCCTCAACTATACACTACTACTCAATTTGGTCCTCAACATTTGTTGGACTTGATTCAGTCCTCGAGTGTGACATTTAGACCTAATTTAGTCCTCGTACATAATTGGCTCTATATGAGAAGGCTATTTTCTTCCATGTACTAAATACAGAGCTTAGACCTAATTTAGGGTTGTATTTGGTTTTCTATTATTTAATTTGGTCCCAATTCATTCATCAACCATGGAAGTACCCTTCTTCATCAGAGCAAAATGTGGGTGAGGACTAAATTGAGTCCCAATGCCAAGTAGAGTCCATCAGAAAGCCGGGATTAATTTCAGCAGTAGTGTGTACTCAAAAGACTAAATTCGGCAACTCTTAGTAGATTAACTCATTTGGCACTAATTTTTTTTCTGTCACACCAATTTCACACTGTGATGCAGATAGTGGTATTCTTTTCTACATGTGATGCTGTAGATTTTCATTATTCACTTCTGGGTGAGTTTCAGTGGCAACCAAGTCATCAATCAGATTCGGATTCTAAACAAAAGTTTTTGAGCTGTAAAACTTTTCGACTACATGGTAATATGAACCATGAGGACCGTAGGTCTACTTTTAATGCATTTAAAACAGAAAAATCAGCTCTGCTAGTCTCCACTGATGTAGCTGCTAGGGGTCTTGATTTCCCCAAAGTTAGGTGTATTATACAGTATGACTCTCCTGGTGAGGCCACTGAGTATGTTCACAGGTAAAATTCCTCATTTTCTGGCTCTTGTAGCCTTCCTCTGTTTTTTAATGATGTTATCGTGATACTCCGCCCGTCTTAAAAATGGGGCATGTTTAAGCATGTTACAACCTTATGAACTTATTTTTAGTCATCTTAATTAAGGTGTTTTTTATGATGATGTTATCTTTTCCATACGTCCAAAAAACGGGGCATGTTTAAGCAGGCTACAACTTATTTATGCTCAACTAAAGTAGGGTTTATGTTTTTACAAGGTATGGTCTCACTTAAAAGTGAAAGCTTACTTTTAAAATCAGACTCTTTTGGAACATTTTTTTTAAATAGGACTGAACACTCTTTTGAGGGATGGAGAGTATGATCTTGTTACTTCGTAATTTTCTGACACTGCTAACTGTAGAAAGAGTAAACAATTATATGTACTGGTACTTATTGTGTAAATGCATTTTTTGGTGGCGATAGTCATGATACTTTTTATGATAATGTGTTCTGTCCAAAGAGTCATATTTGGTCAAGCATGACTTTTAAATTTTGACAAGGTTTAACTCTTAAATTGTATCATACTTCGTATATATATTTTCAAAAGGTAGCTGTTGCATTTACTAAATCTATCATATTTAACTTTTTTGTACCTCTTTTTTGGATAATCACATAAAATAAGATTTATTTGATGAAACAAGATCTTTGTAGGACAAAAAGGCAGTTGAATCTAAGTTTTTTGGGGGGTGGGGGTACCGATCTTGTGATAGAAATATCTCATCCGCAAGTTCTAAACCTAATGCAGAGTGGGAAGAACTGCTCGGTTAGGGGAAAAGGGTGACTCTATATTATTTCTACAGCCAGTTGAAGCTGAGTACTTGAAGGAGTTAGAGAAACATGGAGTGACACTAACAGAGTATCCCCTTCTGAAATTGTTGGATAGCTTCTCAGTGTTTGGTACTAAGCACATGCCAAAGAAATTTATTTCAGTAGAGATGCATCCCTGGTCTCTTTTTTTGCAGAAGTCTTTGGAATCCTTTGTTGCAACAGAGGCAAGATAGTTTTGCATTTGTCATTTCATTACGTTTAATAAATAAATTAATTAATTAATTTTTATTTAAAAAGGTAAGGTGTAATATCTTGTTTGGTTGGGGGGTTTCAGGATTGTGACATTTGACCAAAAATACACAATTTATAAGGTGTAATGTCTTGTTTAGTAAAGCAAAGTCATTCCTCCCCTCTCTTCCTAAGTCTCCCAACCAAACAAGCCCCAAGTCTGTTTCACTAGAATATTTGTAGTGGGTGCGTTGTGAATAGATAAGCACAAATGTCACTTGTGAAAATGAGCACATTTGACCTTCTGCAAATACAATACGTATCTTACCAGTTACCACTACCAAAATTCCTTCGCCATTATGTTTATAATAATTTACTGGTTTTAAGGTACCCATTCGATAAGATTTTTTTTTGTTTAGTGGGGCTGAAATGGCTTAATATGTTGACATTTATTAAAATAAAGTGTTTGGTTACAACGCCATTTCAGCCAAATAAGAAAGTCAAAGCACTACTTATTCTGTAGAATACAAGAATTTGCTACCAAATGGAACCTTGATTTTAGGCTGTGTATTGCCACTTTGCCTGCTTAAAATGTCATTTTGATTTTTAAATTTGTAAATTTGTAAATGTTATATTGTCATCCTATCTTTATCTTATCTTTATATCCCTTTTTATCTTAGATATCTTTTTCTTTTTAGCTCTGATTGCATATGTCTATTCATATTAGCTGATCCCAAACTGTTTTGGGAATAAGGCTTGGATATTATTGTTAATGTTGTAAATGTTATCTTAAACTATCATTTTCTTTCATTTTGACCCCAGAGCCTTGCTTTCAGCAACTTTTCCAATCACCAATACTGAGATTAGCTAGCTTAAAAGCTATCTGTTATAAGCTGCAACCTACTTGCTGATTTATTAGTTATTAACTTGCTTGTAAACTTGTTTTGCCAAATGTAGTTTTTGATAAGTCCAGTATCTGGCTTTACTAATGTTAATGACTTAATGTGCCAGGCTAAGATGAGAAAACTGGCAAAGAATGCCTTTTGCTCATGGGTCCGGGCGTACACTGCCCATCGCGGAGAGCTGAAAGGAATTTTCATGGTGAAGAAGCTTCACTTGGGGCATGTCGCTAAGAGCTTTGCATTGAAGGATCAGCCATCCCTGGTGAACAAATCAATTCAGAAAGAATCTAAGAAGAGGGAAAGGGATCAGTATCAGAAACTGAAGAGATTATCAAAGAAGAGGAAATAACTTGTGATTCTATATTTTTTGGTGTAATAGTTTATTAGTCTGATGGGGAGCCTTGGCGCACTGGTTAATGTGTTAAAGCTCTGGGTTCAAGTTTTAGGAGTGCCTCTTGTCAAAAATTTGACAAGAGATGCTTTCATGCACCGGGTTGCTCCCCTTTTTAATACTACGTAGTTTATTAGTGCATACTTCTAATAGCAGCGCCTCTATGTGGCCTTAAGCAACATATTTTCCACCTTAAAAGTTCGTGATGAGACATTAATTTTATTTATGGTTAGATGATGAAGCATAAGGATTTTAGATTTTTAGTATTAGGGGCCTTTTGGTGTACCGTTTTCTTTGTTATATAGCACAATACTTCTGCGTATATATCTCTCATTTTCTAACTTTCACCTTTTCACTGTTACTCTTAATTTCTTATATTTCAAAAGTAGTTTAAATCCTTAATCTGGAATCCTACCCAAATCAAACTATTTTATTGCTTGCAAACATTGCCCGCACCACCTTTGGTCTTGTAGTCGGTGCGTCGGTGCTCAACTCTGCAATGGCTTGTACCATGGCCTCAGAAGCTGCTCATCTTTGATATAAGCACTACTTCCCGCTCACTCTTACCTGTCTAAGGAATCATGGATTTGTCATTTGTATTAATTGTATATGGTTAACTTGACTCTGGGTTGAAAATGAGGTTTTAAAGTGTGGTTGCACAGTTCAATTCAGACCAGCTGCTGACTGATTGTCTCCAAGTTTTCTGCTCTGTTTAGAGAGCTTAATTGGCAGGGCCATGGCTTCAACATTGGACTGGAAGATGTTGCTATAACTTATCATATCCTATGGTTATCAGTTCTCAAAGTCTGGAACAGAAACACGAGGATAAGAAGAAGCTTAGCGATCAAAATTCATTGTGATGAAGGTTGAGCGGAGCATAGGGCTTCTATTATACAGCTCGAGGATGAGAGTGACTCTAGAGAGTTGATATCTGATGTTCCTTCCACATCTGGCTAACAAAAGTTTAGGCCTCTAAGGAGTTTGCTCCTTATGCTCAACATTTGAGCAAATAAAAGTTGATAACTTCCTGTGTTAAGCCGTTAAGTAACTTTGCCAAGATATTGAGTTGCGAAAAAAATGAATGAATCCCATGATTAAGGACTTGAGGTGCGTTTCACTATTGATAGTTTGAAGGTAGATCCCTAGATGTAAAAAGATTTTCTCTTAGGGTGTGTTTGAGAGTTTAGAGGCAAGAGGAGGGGAAGACTTTGGCTGTGTTTGGTAATTAGGGTTTCCGCTAGAAATTGGCAGATTTGACCAATTTTGCTGTTTCAAGAATAGGAAATGCCGTTTTTTTCATGTTTGGTAAACAGAGGTTTTGCCTAGCGTTTTTACATGGATCCGCCAAAAGCAACACGCTACAACCAGGAGCGTTTAGAGGTTGGCCTTTTCAAATAATTATTAGATTGACAAATCTGTCCTCTCATCTTTTATTATGTTTTCCGGTGCCATTGTTGAAAGCCTGCTACGTTCTCACTGCTTCTCTGAGACACTGGGAGTATGAAACCCCTTTTATTAAGAGCTCCTTATTCTTAGGTAAGTCGGTTAAGAATTGCCTTATTTTAATATATAACAGCTCCTTACATACAGTAAGAACCCTTTTACATAGGTAAGTCGGCTAAGAATAAATACAAAAACAAATGATAAGGATTCAACCAAAATTGATGATAGGAAGCCGGTTAATGAAATTAATAGTTTTCTTTTGGAATAGATGTGGGTTCACTTATTAGATTGATATTTTTGTATTAATTAGTTTGTATGGAGTTAGTATATTTTAATCCAAGAATAAAAATTTTGACAGGGAGGGGCAATTCTAGCTGCATCGAAGCTTTTGATAACCATTTTATTGTTTTTTCCTCTTTTTCTAAAACTAGTTCTACATCACACGTCAAAGTCTTGTGTATAGTAAGAGTTCTACTTTAATATTCATAGGTTACATGCTTATTACGTTATATGGATGTGCTAATGTCCTTTTTTGTCTTTTTGTTTACTAACCGTTAAAATCAAACAGCTAAGTTACCAAACATCTTTTTGTAACCCGCTAAACTAATCCACCGGTCAAACCCGCTAACTCAATCCGTTGTTTAGAACCCGCTGATTCAATCCGCTAACCGCCAACCACTAAACGCTGATTGCCAAACAGAGCCTTTGAAGGAGAGTAAAGAGAAGGGAAGGGGAGGGAGATGGGAAGTGATTCCTTCCTCATGTTTGGAAGTTACAAATTTGAAAAGAAGAGGAATATAAGAGGATTATAATTAAAATTACACACATGCCCTTTCCATGGTATGAATTAGGAAAAAGTACAGAAAAAGTACTTGTGGTTGGGCCTGTTTTCAGATAGGGTCATGTGTTTCATTCTTTATCAAAGTGATTCATGTGTTTGAATTCCGTTATCACAAGAGGGTCACGCCGTCAAAAACGTCTGAAAAAGATCGTTAAACGTAACTCCGATTTTCAAAAGTGCCCGGAAAATTAAAAGAAAAATACCGAAAGGTGCGCCTCATCAAGATGACCTCCAAACCACCTTCGCTTCTGGATTTTTCAGATCTGTTTGAATTATTTTTAAAAATGATTTCGCTAATATCACTTTTCCAGTGGACTTTCCGGTGACAAGGGTGGCTGAAAACAAAAAAGAAAGATGGCCTAGCTGTCGTCTTATTGAGGCGCACCTTCCGATAGTTTTCTTTTATTTTTTCGAGCACTTTTGAAAATCGGAGTTACTTTTAACAATGTTTTTCAGACGTTTTTAACGGTGTGACCCTTTTGTGATAACGAAATTCAAACACATGAACCACTTTGATAAAAAATGAAACACATGACCCTATCTGAAAACAGGTCCAACCACAAGTACCTTTTCCGTACTTTTCCCTATGAATTATAATAATACATAGGTTATAGTGGGTTTTATTGTTTAAATCGCTTTGTTAAATTTCCTTCAAAAACTGACTTCAATATTTACTTACACACAGCATAAGTATATTTAAATAATGATAATATTAAATTCACATTTCAATTTACACATCATCAAAGAAAGAGTTATTTAAAAATTAAAATAATTGAAGGAGAGTATATCCACAAACTAAAAATATCACATTTGGAAGGTTTATAAGGATTTCAAAACACCACCAAAACATTTCCTCCCAATTTTTAAACTTCCAAATACAAAATGAAGGGTCCTCAACCCTCACATTCCTTCCCCTCCCTCCCAAAATCCAACTCCCAAATACACTCTTAGGATCTTAGATACGTATTTGTATTTTCATTTTCTATTTAACGCTCCGCTAAATATTATATTTAGTGAGAACACTTGATAGGCCGCTAAATATTCTATGAAAATACGTATTGGTATTTTTATTTTCACTATAGAAAATGATAATACTTTATTATCACTTTATTAAAGTGATAATAAAGTGGTACTTTTTTTGCCAGGTCAGCTATTTTAACGTTATGATAGAGTAAATGTACTTGATTGACTATAAAAATACATGTTCATGTACTTTAAAATTTCAAATGCAAGATGAAGTACTACTTACCCTCGTCGATATAACTTCATGTGCTATTTTGACCATTTTCTCATACTTTTTCAGTGGAAATCAATATTGTACTTTCCAAAATGTTAGTTGAAAGACATGACTTGATAATATTTTCCAATAAAATTTGTAAATATGTAAATATTACTCAGTAGTTATAATTAATTCAATTTCAAATATAGTTAATGAGAAATTAATATTAAGGGGAATTTAACTTTGCATTCCACTTTTTGAGTGATATTGAATTTTACACACCATTTTTAAAAAACTTTGACTTTGCACTCCATCTATAACATTTTATGAAGATAAATTCTTAATAGGGTACTGCATAGTCAAATGGTTTTAAAGTGAAATGGGTCCAAAGTCAAATTTTTTTAAAAATGGGGTTCAAAGTCCAATATCACGTCCAAATTTCTCCTTAACATTATCGTTAGTCAATCACAATCCATCGTAACGATAAATCCATAAACGGTATTTGCTACTACCTCCGTCCCGCTAATATTGTCCCATTTTACCATTTCGGTCCGTCCCACTCAGGGGCGGATCTCTTCTATGCAAGGGTGTTCATGCGAACATCCAAAAGTAAAAAAAACAATGTGAATATATATATATATATATATATATATATATATATATATATATATATATATAAATTAGAGTAATAATTTATTTATTAGTATTTTAAAGAGAAAATGTGTAATTTTGAACACTCAAATTGTAAACACTAGATCCGCCACTGGTCCCACTAAGATTGTCTCATACCAAATTAGGCAAAATTTGTGTGGCTCCAAATTATTCTTACTTTATTCTTACTTTATCAATTCAATATCAATCACATAACTCACTTTTTATTAGTTTGCGTGTCACTCCCTCTTGTTCCATTGTTAGCGGGACGGAGGGAGTAGTATTTAACGAAGAGTTGGCGAATATTTTAAATAAATTGTACTCCTTAGCTTATAATAGTATGAATTAATTATTGCCCAAATAAAAGTAAGACATGGGCCGAATATAAAAATAGGAGCTATTGTTTGAAATTCCTTATATAGAAATAATTACGTGTGTTTGAACAAAAATATGCTTGCAGATCTACTGTCAGTCTATTGCCACAACCTACTGCCGCCTGCTGCTATAGTGCAATCACCGCCTTTCGCTGGAGTTCCATCGCAGTCGGTCGCCAAAAATTAACTACCATCGATTGCTGGTCGCCGCCCCTTGAATTTCCCCCATCTCATTGCCACCGATATGTCAGAATCTCACTCCTGGTTTGCCGTCATCATCGGGCAACTACGTCACCAACGAACTGACTTTGACTATGCACGAGAACTAGGAGACAATTAATTATGTTAATTTATTAGTATCTTCCGTTCTTTAAAAGTTGCAACAATTTGACTTTCACGTTTGCCAACGCACAACTTTGACGGTAATTATATTTAATTACATATTAGTAAACATTAAAAAAGTTAATATTTTGGAAATTTACATTAATAGAAATTTAATAACATTTTATACATAATAATTTGATTATATATATTATTAGAAAATCGTAGTCAAAGTAAGATATGTGAATAGTGCTAAAATCGCAATGTTGCAACTTTTAAAGAACGGAGAAAGTATACGATAGTATTAGATGTACTTAGAAAAATAATATTTAATTTTATTTAAAGAATACAAAACATTCAATCCTGTTTATGCAATTATATGTAGATTTAGTCCTATTCACGATAATTTCTCTCATATTATATGCATGCTCATTTGCTCGCCCATACCGATTGAGCTATTAACGTCAACATTCCAGAAATTATACGTACTGCGTAATTATCATTGTGAAACAGTCCACTTTGCATTCGTTCTGGGGTGTTTTCAGCCATTACATCAAAATCATCTCAAATTCATTGTTGGCAAACAACAAAACGTGACAGTTGTACTTAATTGGCAAATAGAACGTAAATGAGATTAGATATAGTGATTGAACCCCACTTTATTATGGTGCAGTTTGCCCCACTATCACAAACCAATTAAATGCGGTTATACTTTGTTCTAAAAGTTGGAATCTCCCGCCGAGGAGTTCTCACCCCCGACCCGACATATGTTGAATGAGTAAGTTACGGTTACTCAGTCATTCCAAGAGTGGTAGACTTTATATCCGTGTTCATCAGAGATCCAGTCCAGTACACTGGAGTAGTAATCACCGCACGACCGCTGTAGGTTTCGAACCTTGATCATTGTTCCAAATTTCTCACTATTCAACCAACTCAACTTCTCGTGCATATAAAAATGCGGCTATACTTAATACTCCGTACCATATCTTGGCATCACTGAAAATAGGCTTCAGTTTAATGCTTAGAAATATTTTACCCACGAAGGAGTTTCTTTAAGTATAAAGTGCACACTGCACGCCACACTTCATAAATGGAATTTTAATTATAACTCAATTTAACAGTCTGAAGTATAAACAATTATCCAGAATGTTATCTTTATTTCTTCTTTCCTATTGCATAGGCTATACAGTGCAACACAAACGTCATATATTTCTCTCTCAGCCAAGATATTTTGGATTTGTATTGTGGAACCTTGATAAAATTCCCTCACAAAAAAATTTCTCTTACATAAATAAGAGAAAATTTCTCTAATATGAGTAAAACAAGAGTAATTTTACATAATCCAAAAAAAGGAAAAATCAAATAAGAGAAAATTTCCTAAATTTACATAAAATTGTACGGAGTACATAGCTAGAACAAACCCAAAAATAAATTCATGGGTTATGGGACTAGGCCCAGAGGCCCAAGCCCCGAACATGGATTCAAGTCCACAGCCTAGAGCCTGCCCACCAGCCAGTCGAGAGTCTGCCTACCAGCCCGGCGAAGAGGGAGCTCTAGCGTCAGGTCTGCCATCCAGGTTGACCTGCTAGCCAGGAAGAGCAACGGTCAAACAATTAATGCGCCGATTAATTATGTATTTAATTTTGTATTAATGTTGTAATTAATTAGTCATTATTATTGATAGCAGTTACAATTTGTAAACGCTTATAAAAGACAAGTCATATTCAAATGATAGGACATGCTATTTATGGCAACAAAACTCCCTTAACACTTTCCATTCTCGTGTTACTTCCTGATTCTTGTTTGGGTGTTCTATCGTAGCTTTTTTAAAACCGTACGAGCGTCCATTTTTGGACCAACATAAATCTAATTCAGATTAAAATGTAGCCTATATAGTTAAATAGGAGTAATTTTGTATGAAGACCTAAATACATATTTATATATATATGGGTATAATTTAGTACCAATGTATTAAATATATTCTAGTCCATCACATAAAAAGAAAAGAACATTACTTAAAAACATTTCTCACATAACATTATGAAACAAAATCACCAATAATCACTTCATAGCCAACCTTTTCTACAGACCAATTTGTCACAATTGGAATTTGGAAATAATTGGGATGAGATTTGGGAGGCAATGGTTACACAAAATTAAAAATATAAATTTTGTGATTTATAATTATAACGAATAAAAAGAAATTGTATTGCTTTGAAGAGTTGCAACTAGTCCTACTTAAATTTAATGCATATTTTTTTAAAACTTAATTGGCCCTGCTTAGACTTTTCAAATTGTTAATATGAATTCAACATTAAGCCTAATTTATTGAATTTAAAAATAGCCTAAGAAAATTTGAGCCTGCTTTTTTCTAGTACGAAGTATTTCCTATGGCATGTATCTCTCTGGTATGAGCATTTATTCAATTTATAAATATGAGATAAAATTGCCATTTGCCAGCGAGCTGATGGCTAGATCCTACCTGCTGCATGCCGACTACTTCGTGAACAATTCAGTGTATTCTGTCTCTAAAAATTCTGAATAAAAGAAAATGCCCTTTTCTCGAAATATTGTAATATAGTTCATTCCGATGGGTTAATTAAGTGTTATCAATCTTAACGTAAGGTGTGTCCAAACAGGCAAAAATATGTGAATGTGAAATTGCCCTCGATTGCAAAGAAAGTTCTCCCATCCAAATTTTGTTTCTAAAAGTTTTTGCGTTTTCTTTTTTATATATTCCCTCCCTTTCATTGGACATTGCCTACTTTAATTTAAGTGTAGAATACGAAAAATAAAAATTATATAATTAATATTTGTATAGAGAAAAATAAATAAAATAAACCACAAATAAAAAAAATGACAAAGTTTTTTAGATAAACAAATAAGGAAAGTATGTTGACAAAGTACAAAGTTTTAAATTCAGTTTACAATTCTCATTTGTATCCTTTTGAAAGACCCAAATAAATGTTCTCATTTTCATTTTAAGAAATAATTATCAATGTTAAATGAGAATTTAGTCACCAAATATTAAAAGTATACCCCTATAACATCACAGTTGTCATCAATGACATCATTAATTATATTATAACCTATCAAAATTACATCTAAAAAATACTCGAATAATTCTATTTAATCATTATCTAGATAACTGTGATATTCTTCAATGAGAAGCTTAAGCCGCAATATATTTTTTTTTCAAATTTTGAGTGTCATACCTAATACTCCGTATGTCCCCTAACAACGCAGTGCCATTCAATTGACTATGAATTTGCTTGATAACACTGTAATTGGTTGAATATGGTGAACAATAAGAATTTCATCCATTTCAACAGATTCAACCGATTCAGTCAATTTTCAGTATTACCAAAAAGGCTCTTATATTGAAAGATTAAGAACCTACTTGGTCACAATAAAACTAACTGAATCGGCCGAATGTGTTGAAATTGTGAACTGACCGCATATGCTGGATTATGGAAAATTTATATCTAGAATATATTTTATTATTAAAATATAGAGCAAAAATTATGAACAAATAGCTAGAATCATATTCTATTATAACTTCAGTCAATACGGTTAGAAACTAATTCTAACCCTATTTATTTTGATTATTCGACAATTAAATGTACGTATTTGATAAACAAATTAATTACTGCGTATAAACTAAGATTGATAAGCTGGAAATAGAGATCACCGGCTTAAAAGAGGTTTGTAATTAGGATGTTTTCTTTTGAACTGTTTTCAGTCCCAGACCAGACCAGACCAGCCTTAAACAGACCAGACCAGACCAGACTTAAACAGACCACACCAGACCAGACTTAAACAGACCAGACCAGACTTCCATAGTTATAAAATACACAGAGACCAGACGTTTACCAGACCAGACCAGACCAATTCAGACCAGACCAGACCAGACTTAAACAAACCAGACCAGACCAGACTTAAACAGACCAGACCAGACCAGCAAATTTCAGTCCAAAAAGAAAACATCCTTACTCCGTATTCAATAAAGAGGAATGTTCATGTCAGGCCGGCCTGACGGGCTGCTCCGTCCGGCCGAGCCCTTTTGGCCACCTTCCCGGTGGAATTTTTCGATGAAATTTTTTGAGCATGTTCCTCATCAAGTCTAGTTTGTCCATACCAAATTTCAGCTCAAAATTCGATCGGGAAGGCATTCAAATCATTTTTTGAAGTTCACTGCAGTTTTATATGTATATTTTGACGCAGTCAACTTCAAAAAATGATTTGAATGTCTTCCCGATCGAATTTTGAGCTGAAATTTGGTATGGACAAACTAGACTTGATGGGTAACATGCTCAAAAATTTTCATCAAAAAATTCCACCGGGAAGGTGCCCAAATGGGCTCGGCCGGACGGAACATCCCGTCAGGCCGGCCTGATGAGAAGAGCACTCATTCAATAAAAAGATCTTTACCTAGTAATCTACTCCGTAGTATGGAGTACAACATTTCACTAGCTAGACATAACGTACGGCAGGGTCTGTTATTGATAGCCTAGGGCGTATTGGCGTGGGTCTAATAATTACAACAACTCCGTAGCTGGTACGGAGTATCTAACCAACTAACTAATTAAATCCAAAGGCGCAATTAATTGATTAATTACGATAGATACATATTAAAGTGTCGTTTTTGTTTTTAGACTTCGGATGTTTTCTTTTGAGCTATTTTGAGTCCCAGATCAGATCAGATCAGATTTAAACTGACAAGACCAGACCAGACTTAAACAGACCAGACCAGACCAGACTTGGATAATTTTAAAATACACAGAGACCAGACGTTTACTAGACTAGACCAGACTTAAACAGACCAGACCAGACCAGACCAGACCAGCAAATTTCAATCTTAAAAGAAAACATCCTTCATCCTATTTCTAAGGAGATTCTATCCGTCTAAACTAAACCTGGAAATCCAAAGCAAAAACACGTTCACATCAAACTTGGCAGGTTCACATGCAATATGACATTTTTTATCAAACACG